TGACCGCTCTGCGTGAGACAGTAAAAAATCCACAATCCTGAGATGGTTTCCTCCTTCCTTGGGAGAATGTGCTGTATTAAAGGCAATGGTTAAACATGAAAAAGCCTCTCTCAAAGATTTATGAATGAAAATCTCAGGCCTGAACCTCACCTCGTAGCTCCGGGCAGAGAGTCCTGAGCTCTGCGCACAGCCAGCTGAGCAGCGGACAGGGAAGCTCGTCACATCTGCACCGGGAGAGGCAGCGGCTGCCCGGGTACCTGACCAGGAAGTAAGTGGAGGCGACAAGTGAGATTACCTATTCACCTGTCAGGCGTATCGGCAAGTGTCATTATACGTCAAAAGCCCAGAAAGCAGGCAGAGAATAAGGTTTCTCTTCTCAAATTAAAGTTTCGTAACGACGAAAAACAAACATGTTAATCACCCCAGAGCTTTAATGGCTGAAACTGTCCCCGCGCTCCTCTCCATGAAGACAGGCGTGTACGACTTATTCTTTACTCTGCGAAGTTCAAGTGTGTTTACAAGGGGTGCTTCCTCCTTTAACATCCAGGACGCTCACCGCCCCCTGCTGGCCGGAGTGCGCACAACAACTTCATAAATAACCAAGTCATTCACTGGAGACGGAATGAATAAACAAAGGATAAATTACAGAAAGTCCAACGATTTTACAAAATATGAACACAAAAGTACAAGCTAACAGCATTATTTGCCCCAATTTTAAAAAAGAAAATAAGTAATCGTGTTTTTTTTTAAACAACAACATAATTATTAAAAAATATATAAAAGCAAAGCAGAACAGAAAAACATTACATTTTGTATGAATAAGTTTAGGTTATTTTTCTGTTACAGAATTAGTGAATAAAGTAGTACATTTAGCTTTTCAAAGGTTTCAAACTATTCGTGTAATACTTACTCTCCCTCAACTTAACACTTTATGCATCTCTATTTGACGGCATCTTTTTAAAACTTTCTCCCGTGATATAATGAAAAAAGTTTCACTCTGCCCCCACACATCACACCTTTCTCACTTCTTGAGGGGAACAAATTGTCCTATAAGGACGGAATACGCGTTTGTTTGCCCGTTAGGGGTCACCAGAGGTCTAGTATAGCCTGCTGTGTTAACCAAAGATAAATCTGCTGGCATTAAGTACCTTGAAAGGTGGGATGCAACTAAACAGATATTAGATACGTGATATGTGATGTTTGTGTAATATATGTATGTATTGTTTTCTGCTACTCAAATTTAACTTTAAATCAGATCTCAGTTGTCATGTTAGAATACAGATGTTTGAAACGTGAACACAGCTCCATTCATTAGGACTTATTAACATCAGCTTCCATCCTCTGCTCTGGAGTGAATATTATGAGCAAATTAACTAGTTTAATTAATTAATGTCTGTTATCTTGTCAAATTATCATTATGTACAGTGGCTGAACATGAACTCAACTAAGAATATCACAGTCATGTCTCCTGTTCAGCTGTTTGATACACCATTTACGCTGAACACTATTTACTGCTCTCAGCACTATCCTGCGTCTTGCTGATGCAGCTGATGTTTGCTGCAGTGTTATATGCAGTATCCCTGTTGTCAGGGATTTTTTTTGATTTAAAACATCAGTGAGAGTTTTATGGTGGATGGTTCTGCTTGTGTAGCTTGAACTCAATAGGCAGCAAATGTTAGATGAGAAAATCTTGAAGTAAAGGGTGATGCTCCTCTGTGGCCTGAGTCATCTTTTCAGTAATAGATTTTATAAGCAAGTTTGGCCTTCATTGAACAAATGCAAAAATGTTTCCTCTTCTCATGTCTGACTCTGTGCACACACTCTTAAACACAAGTACTTCAAGGTCTGAGTGTGCTGTTCAGCACACGTGTCCCTCGTTGGACTTCACTGCAGGAGGTATGTGAGCCTCCTCGTCACACTTACGCCACATCAGCTGCCCCCAAACTAACAGGAACAATGGAAACAATGGCAGCGAGGCGTGTTGGGCCCTGATGTACAGTGCGTCTGCTTTTGCCGCCATATGTACAGAAGCTGCGGCTTCCCTGACTACAAAAGCCTTGCCATGCGTCAGGATGCTTTGTCTTTTATTCCCCTGACACTGCCCCGTGCTCCATGAAACCTTGTGGAGGCTGACCCTTGACCCCTGGAAAGCATCTACACAATGCAGGCAGAAACTCCCTTTGTTTATAAGGCTAACTTGTTAACCACTTGCTGCCTGATTAAAAACAGAGTTCCACCTGATTTCACGAAATACTGACTTGCATACTTAAAAAAATGAACATATAACCCATTCCAAAACTTTACACTAACAAATTATAAATAACTGAGAAGATTAAACTAAAAGAAATTGGTAGTAATAAAAAAAAATCTCCATGTGTAAATATGTGTACTTAACGTGGATGCATGGAAAAACAGTGCAGTCCTGTTCATGTGAACAAGTGCAAAATAAACATGCAGATGTATAATCTTACATTTTACAAGCTGTGTGCATACTACACCCAAACAGGAGCATGTAGAAGCTCATTTTTCCCCCCAAAAAAAGAAAAGAAAAAGCTTAAACATATTCAGCATGTAGAGAAAAAGGTGTGACTTGTGTAAATGGATAAATGAGACAGAGCGAGAGAGAGAGAGATACATGTAGCTTTGAATAAAATAGAAAAACAGGATATAAGAACCAGTCTATTTAAAATTTAACGCTTTATTCCAGTTCAAAGTGCTTCAAAAGTGATAAACTGATAATAATAAAAAACCCAAATTGAATGAAATGAAACCATAACAAATAAATTACATTTAAAACGGCCTGTAAGTACCATCAAATTACTTCAATTTAAGAATAATAAATACTTTTATCAAAGTATGAAAACATATTTTTAAAAAAGCAGAAACACTGGTTTTTGAAGCTTACTGGTATCACATGTGTGCATTTCGTGATGCTGCAATGGGACGTCATCTGTTGTTTGACTAATGTCCTCCACAGTGAATGATTATAATAAACAATATGCTGCAGTCCGGTAAAACTTCAAGAAAAACAGTTCCCACTGTTTCACAGCACCATGCAGGTGCTTGTGTGTCTTTCCATTTTACATTTTCCACACTCTGAGCCCTGCGGCAGGGCAGGTATCGATGTGGTTGCCGAGCTGGGTGGTGACAGTTGCTCAGGTGACTGAAACCAACACACCACGGAGACAAACTGCCATCTGCGGGTGACAGAGGGAGGGAGCAGCCTGCTTTCACCAGACAGCTCCAACCTTCGGTTCGACTTCACTTACATTTACACTCTGCTCGACTCAGCAGCTACACGCAGGTGTCATGAGTGGGCATCCACAGATGCGCGTTTATGGCACCGTTCCCGCGTGTTTTCTTTATATAAGAAGCTATAATAAGGTGTTATTGGATTAGCTATGGATCGACTCGATGATTGGAGCTTCAAGTCCAAGAAAATAATGGACCTAGAGGAGGATTTCTTTTTCCACTATGGAGCGGAGGAAATGACAGATTATCAGGACCCCAGTGAACTTCTGGCTGCTTTAAAACAAAAGGAGGAAGAGGTTATTTTGGCAGCCCAGCTGGGAAACGCATTGCTCCTAGAAAACCGCCAGCTTAAGGAGAAGAGCGAAAAACTCCATGAGCAATACGCAGAGAAGCTGGAGGTAAGGAGAATCCGATTCCCTACAGGTGAACTAATAATCTAGTAGGTTTTGTAATAATCTAAAACATTCTGTGAAATGTTCGGGTTGAAGTGTTTAGAATTACGTCATGGTTGTTGCTGTTTGAAGTGGGCGGGTAAGAAGTTTTCCCGATGTCCAAAGATTGTATGCTGTTGTTTCTCTCCCAGCTTTACGCACGAAAACGCGTAAAAATCTTTCTAGCTCTATTTATTTAAGTTAAGGTGACCAACTTAAATATTCAACATTAATGACATTGAGTCACCTGAGTCATTTATTGGGACCTCCGACCGCACTATATTAACGTGTTCTCAATATTTTGGCCATCCCATGAAAAGACATTTACAATTGTAAATGGAAAAAGCAGCATAAAAAAGGCACTGCTAAGGTGTTCCTACTAAACTGGTTGGTTTACAAAATAATGAATGCAATATATTCAACGTTAAATAAGCTGTAACTGTATAAAGAAACTATAATGTAAGCAGGCAGAAATGCTAGTGCGTTGCTAAACTTTACTAACTCTCTCTGAAGCGATCTTTTGTGTTCTCCCAGCGACTGTAAAACTATTTCTATCTTAGCAGACCTGTCAGTACTGAAATTCCTTCTAGGTAGTCTTGCTGCATACTTGTGAGACACTTCAACTCCTCACGAGATCTCAGCAGTCAGACAGAAAATGTAGTAATAAAAGCGAACCGGTGGCATCCATGTGTTTGTCCCAGTCGACTACACCAGCACCAAATCATGTTGAGAGGCTGTGATATGAAAATAATGACCTCATTGCTTTCCCCGGGTGATGCTGATGTCTCTATCAGATGCTCGCATCAAGTCAGGTATGGCAGTCACTTAAATCACACCAAGGACAAGACAATGGTGCGCTAGTGTCTAAATTGATGTAAACGTGCTGCGTGAACTTTTCTGATTGAGTTTGCGAGAGAGGTGTGGAAAATGTCTGGAACAGTCATTTTTTGAGGGGGGATTTTTAGCCCTTATTGTCTTAAGAAAGTTGAGAGAAGGCAGGAAAGTTTGAAAGAGAGAGAACAGGGGAAGATTCAGACCCAGTCCTCTTTATTTACCTTACACCTTATGGGTCACCTGCACAACCCATTGAGCTAAAATAGTGCTGAATCAATCAGGTGTCATGGCAAGTTAATGCTTGGATGACTTTTCTGTTGACTGACAAACTGACTGATCTTTTAAGCTCCAAAGGAATGGATGAAAGCAGAGTGGATGTTTTCCTCTTCTAGCTTTAATGATATCAGCTACCCTATTGTTACGGATTCAAATTACAGCTGTTGGACATTTCCTGTTATCCGTCAGAGCACTAAATGAGGTTGACAGGTGCTTGTGCTCACTCAAATGCCTTCCAACAACACTCTCACGATGCCAAACAGCTTCATTTGCTGCAGTCGTAGCTAGACAACTGAACCGTATTTACTGCTTTATATTTAAAAATCTTTGTTTTGCTACACCCACCCTAAAGATCACCTGTTAAGGCATTTATCTTTTCCACCTCCGATAGGAGCTGGAGCAGGGAAAACATGAGGTCCGACTGAAGCTGGAGCGCCACCAGTCCCAGTGGGAGAGCCAGATGGGAGACCTGGAGCGGGATGCGAGGGAGCTGAGCGCCCAGGTGGAGCAGCTTACCCGAGCGCTCAGCGAGGCTGAGAGGGACAAGAGTCGAACTCAGCTGGAGCACAACGAGAACACTCAGCGGCTCCAGGAGGAGCTCAAAGCTGTGAGTCCCACACCTGAATGGGTAGATTCATGTTTTTCATCTTTGCTCAAAAAGTAACCGAGCCTCAGTGAAACAAACACCGGCAGTAGATTCAAAGCTTCAGGCCGTCTGAGTAAAACTAGAAAGTTACTCAATCCACCCACTGAAACTCGGTGTTCCCGTGTGAACT